CATTAAATTCCAGTGAAATATATTTATGTTTGTGGTTGTAATGTGACAAAATATGGAAAAGTTCAAGGGGTATGAATACTTTTGCAAACCACTGTAGATGTTCATTGTTTCCAACAGATGCAGGAATGAGTCTCTACACTGTCTGGTGGAGGGGTACTCGCTGGTTGTGTTTCTGCACAGCCTCTGCTCAGACATCAGTTCAATATTTGTCCTGACATGAACATTAAACTTTAACCTGCTAACTGAGGGCTGGAACCTTGATACATCTCTGACCGTTGTATGGTCTGACCTTGGGGTGAATTGTTTGAGACACTGAGTCCTGGGCAGGCTGGCAGCTGTGTTAAATGTTTTCCACATGTGAAAAATCCATCTGTCGTTTGAACAAATGATAAACGCCAGATTGTATAGAAAAGATCTTTGACTTTTCCAGAGTGACGAGTTGTTTCTTTAAGGAGTTTTGATTAGCTGTGATTGGTCAGGTGATAAACACATCTCATCAGCAGCTCCTGGAGGATACTGAACCTTTTAAATCCTACAGAAGCAGCTAAAGAGGACTACATCTTTCCACAGTTTTTTCACTTCTGCCTAATTTTTGTTAAATAAATAATAATTTTGAATCTTTTTTTTACCCGATGTTAGATTTTAATATTTTAAAAACTGGTAAAGATCTGGCTGAAAACTTATCACGATATAAACTTTTCATATTAGTCGATACAACAATTATTGATCAGTTTTAGACAACATCGGTCTGACTCTTGTCGAACTTAAAATATCTAAAATCCTGCCAAACTGGTGACCTTTCCTCTTTTATCCACAATTTCCTCTCGAGCTGTTGCATCACTTGCTCCTTTAAAGCCACGCTGTTTTTTTTTTATTTTGAAGCAGTTATGAGACACTGTAGTGAAACATACAACTGCTACTGCACGTTACTCCACAGCTTTTTCACTAGCTTACCTTGTTTAGCTGCAGGCTGTTAGCTGTTGGGGCGTCGTACTGACACCCTCTTCAGTTTTTTATTAATTTATTTCATATTAACCCTACGATGGTGGACTGTTCCAGAAAGCTAGCACTTTATCACTCAAATGTGTCGACAAGAGAGGAAAAACAACAGTTTACACGTTTTTAAACAAAGCCAGAGCGATTATATTTTTAGCAGGCATTTGTCATGTGTTAGCGGCTTGAAGCTTTTTATTTTGAAGGTGAATCTTAGCGTTGGGTGTTGCATAGCTGAAAGATCCTAGCTTATTTTATTGGAAAGTTAGCAATTAATAACCAGTGAAATTAGCGATATTATATCAGACATGTTTCCTGTTGCTATTGAACACGTGTCTATCATGATATAACTCGTTATTGAATTATCACCCAGCCCTAATAAAGCTTTGAAGTGAAAAAGGTGGACTTTCTGTTTGTCATGACTTTAGAATGTTTGGAAAAACCCTAAGAAGCCTCTTTTTTTTTTTTTTGGAAAAGACGGATCAAAGTTCCCTTTGTTAAAGGGATCCAAGATTAGTTGCAACATTAAACTTTTTTTGATAAACATTTATTTAAACTGTAAAATAAAGACTGTAAAAATACTGTAGGCTGTTTAGTTTTGTAAATTTTTAAAATATATTTTAACACGGACGGAGCCATTTTATTTACACGCAAAGCATTCTGGGTAAATGATGACGTGGATAGGTCATCGGCACAAGGCTGCTAGCGAGCTATATCCACCCTGAAGGTTAATCTTGGACAATATCTGACGACCGACTCTTTTAAATG